TGCAGTACTTTTTTCAAATTTTCTCAGATATATTCTCAATATTAGCTTAAAAGTACGATTATGTAAAATAGTCAAGAAAATTGATATCTTAGTGGAAGAAGTTAAAATGTTATTAATTGTTTTGAATAATAGGAAACTAACATCATTACATGTAAGGTTATTAATAATTATTTATTACTGTCTAAGAAAAGAAATTACTGTACAATTTTAATTTGATTAATTTTATGTTTAAATTTCAGGAATGTTCTACGCTATATCACAAAAAGTTGCTACCAAACAATCATGGAATTTAGCAATGCATTTCAATTTATCTATTGGTACTGGAATGTTTGTATGCTTTTATACTCACGAATGGTACGCTAGAAGATATTGTGATCCATACTTTCAAAATTATATCACAGATTTTTTCATTCCTCGGCATTGGTTGTGTACAAAATACAATAAATATTTATCTGAAAAAGCCTATAATCTTTGATAAAAAAATCTTTGACAAAAAATTTTTGTTAGAAATAAACCAGAAATTAGTAATTTTGATAAGTTTATTCATACTGGTTTTATTTACGAGCTTGCATATCTGTGATAAACAAAAAAAGATATTCTTAAATCAATCAAATTTCAGTATTTTTACAAAATTTGAAATTTTTTAATTTTTTTAAAATTAATATATGATAAAAAAAAACGATTTGTGATGGTTTACTGTATTGATAATTTTGTATTATTTATAAAAGTGTTAAAAGTAATAACATTTGTTATTTTGTGTAGTTATTTCGTGTAATTCTCTTTTTTAATATTTATTGTAATAATGAAAGGAATTCAAATAAATAAATAAATAAGTAAATAAATAAATAAATAAATAAATAAATACTTTCATGGCGAACTATTCATTTGCTATCTTCTAATTCTTTCTCGAAATAACTTTCCATTATCTCTTCAGATACGATTAATTCTTGCAACTGGTTTTTTTGATCAGAATAGATCTGATTATCCATCTTCAACTGATTTTTTCCATCTTTTAAGTGTCATTAATTTGCAAAATCCTGTCAACAATATTTGCCCATGTACACTAACTTTAAATTGCTTTTCTTTAAAATAAATTTATTCAAATTTATTTCAATCATTCTAAACGTTGTGTTTATTTTAATGCTTTTAAAATTACAAAAATTAATATATCACTAATCAATGCTAAAAATTTTGAAGCGGTCGAATGCTACACATTTATGTCAGAATCAACAATTCAGAATGATTTCTATGCGATTATTATTCCTATGGATTCAATTGTCTTTGACCTTTTCTAATTTTTCTTTTTTTATTTTGATTATTTATTATTTATTGTTGTTTTATGAAAAATTTCATTAAGAAAAAAATAATAAAGTAAAGTTTATCAGCAAAAGTTAAGGATTGATGCAAACATCAGCCATCATTTTTGTCCTTAATTAAATGATAAATAAGTTATCATTATCTAGCACTCAACGTAAATCCAATAGAAGTAGAAATGCTAAATTTATATTCATCAGTTTTAAAATTGTATTATTAATATATATTTGGTTTAGTATATGTTTGCATCAAAACAATAACTGTTAGCTTGCCTTTGACCTTTAAATTAATAAGTATTTTTTCTAGAGGTTGTAATAAATTTATCGAGCACTGCTCTTCTCTTACTTTTCAGTAACCAAAAAAAATAATCAAATTAATGAAAAGCAGTATTTGAACCACTGCGGAAATGTAAACAAATACTGTAAAACTACAAAATAAACCCATTTTGTAGCATTTAATTTTGAAAAATCACTATAGTTATTATTCAGAAATTATTTGAAGAAGAATAGAGTCAAAAATTAATCCTTCATAAATATACAATTCATTTACAAAAGTTTATTTGATAGGTATTGGCATGCGCAGTAGCAATAGTAGCAATGGCATTGCTGATCCAACTGATTGCTCATCTCTATAAGTTAAAAGTTGTGATTGAAAAAGAGAAAAGAAAAAGAATGGCAGAAATACCGGTCCTTCTGGGAGACCTTAATAGTCTTGGAAAAGTGTTTACTTATTTATTGCTTGAGTTTTGTTAAAAAAAATGAAAGTAACTTTTCTTCTCGTTCATTTAAATTACAAGTTAAATTTGGAGTATTAGAATTTGAAATAATTTTTTAATTTTAAATTCAGTTTTTAATTTACTAAAATGTGGATCTTAATTTTAAAATATAAAATAACAGTTTAGAGTACAGTTTTTCGAGAAACCGTTAGAAGTTCAGTTTTTGATTCTAATGAAATTATTGATGGTATTGGAAGTGAAGAAAACCATATAGATAAAGTTAAAACTTACTTTTTATGGTAAATGCAATTAACTTCTTAATCTTTAACCTGTTATGTGAATAATAATAATACTAATAATAGTAATAATAATAATAATAATAATAACAGTTTATGGTTTATGCTCATTTAGAAAGAAATAATGAAAATATACAAGGAAAATGTGATAATTTTGTAATTTTTCGAAGTTTAAAGTTCATACAATGTCAATATAATTTATAGCATTCAGATCAAAATAAGCAAAATATATAATTTTGAAGTCAATTTTAATTTTTGTGCTACTTTTTGTAATTAGTAAATTCGTATATTGAGACTGACTAATTTTTTAATAATCACATGTAATTTGATATTTTTATGATTTGTATTACATTAAAAACAAATAATTATTTTATATGAAATTTTTCCATGTTTGTATTACAAATAATTGTAGAGATTTCGTGTGCAACAATTTAAAAAGTTTTTTTTTACAAAAACATTTTTAAAAACATTTAAAAATTACATATATTAAATATTTTGAGAAATCAAAATGATCTGAAAAATTGAAATTTTTTTCAGATGAGGTCGTTTTCGTCAGAAATATTACTTAATTGCTTGTAATAATTGAATAATAATTTATGCTAATTTTGCAAGATGACATAATTCATTTTACAATGTGATCTTAATTTTTAAAATTAATTATTCAAATATGAACTTTTGTAATCCAGTACTATGAACGACGATTGCTTTTATTGAATCATAACGAAAATTTGCAATATTCAATGGTTTGACGTAAAAAATATAGCAAAAAAATGCTATGTACACTAACTGGAAGTTATAATTTACTGTAAATCGCAAAAAAAGCCATTTAGCACTTTAATTTTTTTTAAATTGGTAGTTTCTAAATTGATTGATAGCTTTGTTTTGCGTTGAATTTAATTTGCAAAACTTATTTCTTCAATATTTTAATACTATCTATCATTCCATGCTTGTCGTCATTTCTTATAATTTATTAATATTTGTTTATCTTAAATGTTATTTTTGTTTTTGTTTCTTACATTGAATTGTAATTTATCATTAAAATTTGAAATTATATATTTATATAATTTCAATACCATCTATCTATCTATTTGTATATATATAAAACTTTTGCATGTTATCCATACATAAAATTAAGTACTAATTAATTCTAAAAAAATAAAATAATGAAACGAACTAAACTAAATCTTGATTGTATGTTGTTTTACTCTATACAGTTTTTCACTTTTGAACCATTAATTTGTATTCTATTTCATATTCCAATAATTCTAATAGTTTTCTGTTCCAATAATTTGTATTCTATTTAATTTGTTCACCATAATTCGTTGTCATATATTTTATTTTATATAATTAAATTTTATTAATGCAAGCTTTCTTTGTATTCTTCTTTACTTCTTCTTAATCTTCAATCCTTCCAAGTATTAATATGTAAATGCTTTGTTACAGACGTGTTATTTCACACAAATTGTTTGTAATTAATATTCTTAATATTTAAGACTTATAGTGAAGATAAATTGTATTTCACTCAATTAGGTTTTCGTTTATTTTGTCTACTTTGCATTCAAATTAATTAATAATAACATTTTTGTAAAACACGTTTATAAAATTATAAACGTAGTTTTGGGTTTTTTGTTTAACAAAATTAACAGCATTTTATGAAAAAATAATTTGAAATTCATTTTATGTCTTTTTTATAAACTATCATTAGTTTTATATTTTTATTCAAACAAATTATAAAATTTTTAAATGCAAAATAATGATTTCAAGAAATTAAACGAAAATAGGTTGTTAACGTGCTATTTAACGGAGGAATTATTGGTAGTTGATCTAATGATTTTATTGATTACTTTGATCACTGATGAGAATTGCCGAAATTAATAGCGTGAACGTAATGAAATTAGTAAAATTAAAAGTGTATTCGCGCAGAACAAATCTTTTTCCTTTATATTCTATCACACTAAAATCTTTTTCAATACTCATCCATTTTATCATTGAATTCACTACGCATCAATTATTATACCCAAATATAACTGTTGTAATCACTCTCAATTATTACTATGAATATTAATATTAAAATTATTATTATTGTTGTTATTTATTTTGATCTGATTGCTTTACTTTCGTATAAAGGGACGAAATAAAATGATGCTTATATGCAAATTATCCAACATATTGTACGCTAATTTTTTAATTATGCGTCGATTATTTCAGTTTGAACAAACAAAAAAATTCGTTTTTTACTTAAAAGAAACATAGATTCAAAAAATATTATTATTATTATTATCACTTGTTATTGTCACTAATTCTAATATTGTTATTTGCAAATTAAATGCTGTTTTAATTAGGAATTAATATGTTTTGACAGGGCTTAACTAACAAAATACTGCAATTATGATTTATTTATTATCAGTCGATGATTGTTGTAAATGACTTAGTGATTAGTAGCTTATAATTATATTATGTTTGCTTGCATATTAAGACAAAATTTTTTATAATATAGCGTGAAATTTTCGCATAAATATTTTAATTTTTCGGAGTTGTATTTGTTTTTAAAGTTTATTGCTAAAAAATAATACTATTTTGATATTTTTGAAAGTTGCTTTATCATTATTAGTATTAATAGTAATTGTCTGAACGTTTCAATTTTGAGTGTGACTAAAGTTAAAAGTTTTTAGGGTATGAAGCAATTGTCTGATTGTGGTAAAAAAATAGAAGAATTATCTATAAAAGCATTTTATTATTATGGCTTAATGGTTGCTCGATATCCAAAGCATTTTTTGCTTGGCTCATTATTATTTACAGCAATTGCTATGACTGGATTACCTTCAGCAAGATTAAATTTGGATCTCTATGAATTATTTGTTCCTTTAGATGCACCAGCTCGATCAGAATATGAAAGGTTTTGTTAAGCCATTTAGATTTAATATTTTATAATTTTGTTACATATTTTCAAGTTTTGATTAAAAATTTTGGAATTGTTGCTTAATATTTTTTATTTTTGTTTATTTTATATTACTTAATTAGATTTTACTTTATGATATATCATATATGTTCTATCTTTTATATGTTGCGAATAATGCAAATTTTAATAATCTTTAGAAGTATTTAAGTAATTAATGTGAGAGATTATCGGAATGTGTTTAGTTTGACTTAGCGAAAATAACAAGTTTAATAATTGAAATCATTCTGAAAGCAAAAAATATGAAATCGCTACAGAGTTTTAATTGCTGAGACAAATAGATTGAATAAAATAGAAATAGCTTAAATTTCACAGAAGTAAAATTTGCATAATAATTTGTATACACGTCTATATGGACTTTTCTCAAAAATTTTAAATTAAATTTAAAATGTTTTTTATTATAAAAAATGAATCGAAAAAAAATAATATAAAACAAATTCTAATTTTGCTTAAGTTAAGCATACTTTTTATCAATCAAACATTTATTAATGAAAGTTTTTTCAATTTAAATTTTTCTACTTTCTCATACAGATTGTATATAATATTTCATTAAAATATGCAAAAATTTTTATAAACCTGATGCAATCTTAGACATTCTTTGTACTTATTTAATATTAGTAAAGAAGTAAAATTTTATTACTTTTAGACTTGAAGTATACAGAAGGATGCCTACAAATTTAGATCACTTCAAAGTGTCAAGTAATGTGAGTACCCGAAACAAACGACAACTTGAAATCTTTAAGGGTTATTTTTTAAAATAACTTTTGGGGATTTATTTTAGTAAATTCATTAAAATAAAATTATTCTAATATTGCTAAATTTTTGAAACAGTTGCGAAGAATTGATTAAAAATGATCAAGTCTAAAATTCTGGAAGAAAATTGAAAAATTTAAAAACTTATCTACGATGAGTTTGGTAACAGTTAACAGTTTTTTACAATTTTATTTGTTTGGGACTAGTAAACTTATTGTTGGTAAAATTATGTACTAGAAAAAATGAAAAATCATTTTTGGATTTTCGAAATTAATTCATATTCTATTACTTATATTGAGAATGCATCGATTTAATTTTTTACTTAAATACTTATTTTCTAATTTTTGACTTCTACTTTATGAATTAATAGCAAAATTTTTCACTGATTTAATTTAAATTACGGAAAAATTTAATAGAAATATCCAAATTGCTCTTTTTTTTATATCCTGTTCGAATTGACATGATTCGTTTTTACGCGGTACACGAGCAGTACAAAAACTTATTGCAATCAGATATATTAAATAAAATTTATAATTATACCGAAGAGATTCTGAATACTACAAAGGAGCACAATGGTAAAATTTACAGATTTGAAGATTTCTGTCATCAAGATCCCGATACATTAGTAAGTTTCAAAGGCACAGTATCTACTATCTATGTATTACTTTTTTATTACTGTCATTTTTGATCGCACAATTTATCAGATTATTTCTAGAATTTAACTTTCGATTAAAATTTAATTGTATTTTTCTGCCAACCTTTCAATAATTTTTTTTTTGAATTTTTGTTTATTCATTAAAAAATTCAAACATTTACTCATTTATTTTATTTAGAAATGTTCAAATTCATTAAATACTTGGCTAAAACATGCAGCGGTCATTTTTAAAGATGGCAAAACTAACTACAATCCAAATTTTCAACTTTCCTATCCTGTTATGTATTTATTTAATAGACCTAAAGATATTGGACAGGTATTGCTTCATAAAGTCTTTAATTATTCATTATTAAATATTTTACTTTGAAGTAACAAAATGATTGTAAGTATGTATTCTTTCACTGAATACTTTTGTGATAATAAACTTTAATTATTTTGCTATTAGTATTTGATTTTAGTTATTTGAGTATTTCTAATTTTTAATAATTTTTAGTTATTTGAGTTTTAGTTATTTCAAAATAATTCTTCAATTTTAAATAAATTTCCGCTTAATAATTTGCTTGCAATAAAAATTATTGTTTTAATTTGATTACTTCAATCCAAATAAATATTCCAAAACTTCACAAATTTTTTGCTAAAATACAAGCAAATTTTTTGCTAAAATACAAGCAGATTATCAATTTTTTTTACTTATTCTTGTTTATTTATTTAATACAATAGAAAAATTTGTAATTAGATAAATAAACAAGAATAAGTATTGTAGAACAATTATTAAAAATTAAGAATTATTTAAAATTGAAGAATTATTTTATACACTTAAAAAACTACTAAATTGATATGAGAAATAAATTTTCGTTAAAATTTAATAAACTTGTTCAAAAAAATAAAAAGTAGAATACTTAAAACCAAAATAAATTTCATTTACGTCAGCTAAAATTTTACTACAAAGCATTAAGGTTGTTTACGGAGTTAACGTAACTGGACGAAGACGAGAAATAAGCAGCGCAAAAGTAATAACAATTCATTGGTATGTTAATTTTGTCAGTTCGCCAGAAAAAGAACGTGCTTACGTAGCTTTCCGTGAAGAGTTATCAAAATTTTGGCTTACGAAAAAAGAAGAATCCCAACTCAATTTTATTGCACATAAGTAAGTACAACTAATTCATAACTTACTATTTAATTGTATATTACTCTTTCAAGTACTTATTCATTACTTTTTATTTATTACTTATTAATTATTTATTACTTAATATTACTACTCTTTCAATTACTTATTTATGTTTGATTACTCTCTCAAAACAATCAGTTATTGTTTTGAGAGAGTAATCAAACAATAAGTAATTTGAAAAAAATTTTTATATTCATAAGAATTTATGTCTTTATCATCATTAATTTTAATTTATAATTGTACAACAATTGTTATTACTATAAGTTTATGCGCGAAAAAAACTGTAATTATTAATTCAAGTAATTTTCAAGAAAGAAGTAATAATAAGCTAAAACTGGATAAAAAATCAAAGTTTTTCTTTTAAAAAATTCATATATTAATGTAATAGCCTTAATTGGCAATAAATTTTTGTTTGAAATGAAAACATTTTCATAATATTTTTTAGTATTCTTAATACTTTATCAAATTTATTCTTTGTGAACATTTCAAAATTGATCACATTTTTCTAATTCT